GCCCGCCTCGGCCTCCCAGAGTGCTAGGATTACAGGCGTGAGCCACCACGCCCGGCCTTTTTTTTTTTTAAAGAGACACGGTCTCACTATACTGTCCGGGCTAGCCTCAAACTCCTGGGCTCAAGTGATCCTCCTACTCCAGCTGCCTGAGTAGCTGGGACTACAGGCATGCGCCACCGTGCCTTTGTCTCTTTTGGTTCTTAAATGAGACAAATAAGCTCAAGTGCCGTTAGGATAGATGGCAATTTTCTTGGGGCTGACGTATCATCATGCGTTGTTGGTTTAGTCCGCCCATAGCCAATAACTATCCATTATTAAGCTCTGAACTTCTTTGTTCCTGCCCCTGCCAGAAAGAAATGAGTAACGCCAAATAACTGTTCAGCCTCTGGCAGAGAAGGAAAAAGCAAATACATCACTACTGCAAGATAGGATGATAAATAAAAATTGAGACGCTCAACCAGCGTGACACAGCACTTCCTCATTTCTTATCCTACTATAAAGGCCAACGGAGTTAGTGGTGGTTGGGGACAGAGAGAGGGACATAATATTATTTATTAAATGCTTACTGACTGAGCTTCTGTTTTATGTTAGATGCTGTGTTGTGACTTGGGGACACAGAGATGGATGTGACCCAAATCCTACCCTCCAGAAAGTCAGTCTGGCAGGGAGAGGCAGACATGTAAAAAGTAAAATAGCTTAAAAGATTTTCTTTTTTTGGCTATACAGGCTATTCTTTGGACACAAAGGAGGGGAATGGTAAATTTTGAGGATGAGCAGGGATCAGGAATAGCTTCAGAGGAACTAATGCTTCAGCTGAGTCTTCAGAGACATGCTTTCTCTAGCCCAACTGGGAGGGAATGGGTTTTCCAGTTTTGAACAAAAGCCTGAAGGCTCGAAACAGCTACACTCTGTTCTGGGTGTTATAGGTGAGGATGATGGAAGAGTTATAGCAACATCTTAGCTAACATTTCTAATGTATAATAAGAACTAGGGACCAGGTGTGGTGGTTTAGGCTTGTAGTCCCAGCACTTTGGGAGGCCAAGATTACTTGAGGCCAGCGGCTCAAGACCAACCTAGGCAACATGGTGACGCCTCCTCTCTACAAAAAAAAGAAAAAAGACAAGAAAAGAAAAAAACGAAACAGGTACTTTGCCAAATGCTAAATGAGCTACATAGATTACCTCAGTGAAGTGTTAATGTTATTCCCATTTTACAGGTAAGAAAACCAAGGTGGG